GACTTCAGTCCTGAACTTTTGATGGTTCAGCATGTCTATCTGGATGTCCAACTGGCAAGGCAAGCTCAGCACATTCCGAAGGGAACTCGGTTGTGGAGTCATTACGTAGTTATGTAATGGAGTTAGATTCAGAAAACCTAAGTTTAAACTCTTATCTGTATGATCTTGAATCAACTATTTAAGCTGTCTGAACTTCAGCTGCAAAATGAGAAGAAAAAAATCTGTCACGAAGGTTGCTGATATATTATACACAATAGTGTGAAAATAACTAGTGCTTAATATTTATATTTTGGTTTCATTCTTCATACTCACAAGCCACCCATTCCTTCAGAACCTTACCTCCCTGTCGAGACTCAACAGATGCTGAAGCCTAATACCAACCTCTCCCTATTATCTCCCCGTCCAATGAGGTGCCAAAACAAAGGTGCTCCCACACAAGGCCTCTTGCATTCACTCCCTCCTGTCCATTTTGACCTCCACACAGGCCTTTGGAACCCTCATCTAGACTATAACTGCAATACCTAGCACAGTACCTGCAGGCAGTAGGCGCTTAGTCATCATTAATCAACAAACATAGGTTCCTAAATGGTCTCCCATTTTATGTACAGTAGAGTGTTTTCGCTACAGAGAGCGTTCTGTTAAAATAATATGAAAAGCTACCTGTTCCCTTCCAAATTATATCCAAACCCTTTATGCCAACATTTAGTGTCCGCCACTTTATGGTGTCAAAGCTGCACTATCTCCTTTCAACCCCCTTCAAAGTCAGCTAATCCAGAATATTCCACACTGCTCTCAGATTATCCTTGGCAGGTACATTTGGTTGTTCAGCTTCTTTCACCCAGACTCTCTTTATATCTCCCACCCTCATTGTGTCACTGCTTGTCCAAACTTACCTGTCCTTCAAGAGCCGCTCTAATAATGCAAGACATATTTTTATCATGCCCATCAGATATACTCATTGTTGATTTTGAATTTTCATGGAATGAGTTGTATCCTTCCTATTCCCTACTACTGTTTTGCTTACACTTATCCCACTACATTTCCTCCCGATTGATGTATAGATGCAATGAAGATATAGACTAGCATTTCTAGTGTGTTCAGTTCCTCAGTACAGATTCACTAAGCCTCTGGTCCAGACCAGAAGCCATGTGAGCTGCTAATGCTACTAGTAAAGTACGACGCAGCTCTCCCCTTCTCAAGCCTGGAAGCGGGTAGGGGAGACTATGTCATCAAAACAGAAATGGGTTCCAGAATAGTTGCAAGTGTGGAGCACAAGAACATTTAACGTCGATGGGGATTTAAAGAGAATTTCATGGATTTGGGGGGACACTTGAAGAAAGGTGGCTTTTTAAAGAGCAGATAGAAGTTAACTATACAAAGAATTGGGAGGACTGTCCCACACAAGGGAATATGTACAAAGGCATGTAAATAGAAAAACCTTGAGAGCTACCAGTAGCTTTTCATGAGAGGGGTCTGATTATTTTAAGAGAGGTTGGACTCGTGGTTTGCAAGATGCCCTTAAAGGTAAGGGACTCCTTAGAGGAAAGCCAGGGCAGATTTAGAGATTATTTTATAAGACAGTCACTATTTGAAATTTAGACTAAAAAAAGCTCTCTGTACCTCGGACCAGTGATGCTTGCTCTCCTGTAGCACATTTGCAGCGAGGCTGTGGGAAGTTGTGAAGAATTGATGGCAGTGGCAGTCCCAGCATATTTCTACCAGCCTTAAGCTAGTTCTCTCTCTTCCAGCACACTGTGAATAATGTTTTCTCACCCCCAGATGATTGATTCTCAGTGAGTAAAGACTTTACTTCCTGTGTCCCCAAATCGAACTCTGTCCCCATCTTCCTAGCAATACGGTTTCTTATATCCAGTTCTTAGGAGCCCTGGTGGTGCAAATGATTAAGCAGTTGGCTGCTGCCTGAACGGCTAGCAACTCCACAGGAAAAAGACGGTGCGGTCTGCTTTGTAAAGTGTGCAGCCGATGGGGGAGCTCTGCTCTTGCGCATCGGGTCTCTGAGGCAGAATCAACTCAGGAGTTCTCAGCAACAACAGCATAAGGTAGAACTCAGTCCAATGAATTCCAGGGCCAAGTAAAGCTCTCTGAAAGGTCCACATCCCCTGGAGTTTCCCTGTGCCTGTTACTGGTTCCTTCATTCCTAGGGAACACCACTCCCACGAGTTATAAAATATCCACTTTATAACTTAAACTTTATCTGAAATGTCTGCTGCACTAGTTTCTATCAAAGTTTCAGTGTTGTAAGACATTGAGGGGGAGAGACTTACGCATTGAGCTGATAACCCCAAGGTCAGCAGTTCAAAGCAGTTTTTAAAGGTCAGCTCCTCGGGAGAAAGATGGAGCTTTCTACTCCTGTAAAGAGTTAACAGTCTTGGAAACTCAAAATGACAGTTCTATCCTGTTCTATAGGGCCACTCTGAGTCAGCATCGACTCAATGGTAGTCAGTTTGATTTTGGTATGACTGATTTAAGGAAACCCAGTGGCACTGTGGGTTAGGCATTAGGCTCCTAACCACAAAGCCAGTGGTTCAAACCCATCAGTTGCTACAAGGGAGAAAATGAGGTGTTCTGCTCCTATAAAGATATACAGTCTCTGTGGATGGTAGTTGTGTAGTGGTTACATATTGGGCTTTGATCCAATGGTCAGCAGTTTAAAACCAGCAGCAGCTACTGGGGAGAAAGACTTGGCTTTCTACTCCCATAAACAATTACAGTCTCGGAAGCCCATGTGGAGTCAGCATTGACTCCATGGCAGGGAGTGTTGGGGAGGCTAGTATGCCTCAGAATCAACTCTGTAAGGGGTTTAGTTTTAGTTGGGGGACTGGTATAATCCCAGCAAATAATCCCTCTATAGGAGGGAAGCTGAGTTTCTCTGGACAGCTCACTTTTCACTTTTAAAAGAGGAGTAATTTTTAAAAGGGCAGTCCCAGGTGTCAGTGGTTCAATCTTGGCTAATGAAAAAGGAAGAGATTCTAAACTAGGAGCCCAGATCCTGGTCTCAGAGTTTACCCATCAGGAAGCCCACCTTCATGGTCATAGCTCACATTCAAGTTCAAGCCTTGGCGAATCATGTAGGTGAGAACCTAGACACCTCATCAAAGGTAAATGTATCCCATACGAGGTTCACTTACTTTCCCCCAAAATTGATTCATTTGCTGAGCTCTTCATTAAATGTTTACCACTTAAAGACACGGGCAGAATTATTGTAAGCATGACCATTACAGGCAGCAGCTACCAATTGAATGCTTCTGTACTTACCCTGCGCTCTTCACATACCTGGCTCTTCCTCCTCTCCAGTTCTCAGCTCACTTCTCTTCTCTGAAGCTGTTCACCAACAGCCTGTCTAAAGTAGCCCACTCCACTCCTTATTCTGTAGGCTTCTCTAGAAATTATTTATGCCTGTATCTGTTCCTTTTTGGTTGCCCGTCTTGGAATATCAGCTCCATGACAGCAGACTCTGGCTCCTTCATTTTTAATAACTAAAGTTAGGAAGCTATTGCAATGGTGCAACTGAGAGATGGTAGTGATAGAGATTAGGGTGTCAACAGTGGCATTGATCAAACATAGTTATATTCACAAAGTGTTTCCGATGTAGAGCCCAACAGATCTTCTGAAGAATTGCATATTGGTTAGGAAGAGTGAGGAGGCAAGGGACATTCTTGGGTTTTTAACTTAAGTTACAGCTGGATGATTGCGCTCTGTGCTGAAATGGAGAACACTTGGGAGCAGCAGGTTTGGGGACAGTTTCTGAACAAGTGACTTGAGATGCCTATTATATATACTAGTGGACTGACAAAATAGGCAATCAAATAGTCATATCCAGCTAAGTAAGTGTTTAATAATGACATGATATTGGGTATGACTGCAGGTTTTTTGGTGGGACACCACACAAAACTTAAATAAATGAGAGATAAGCTTGTTAGTTACAATGCCGAACAAGAGAAGGCTACTAAGCAGGGTCACACAGATAGATAGTTATACTGAGACAGGGAAACAGCAAGCTGGGATTTGGGGAGATAGATTCCATATGACTAGCAGGTTGTTGTTAGCTAGTTTTCCCAGGCTTCCTGGGGATTAGGTCTCTTGAATAATTCTACAAGCTTGGCTATAGGGTTTGCCCCTGGTTGTTTGATATAGGGTCTTGGGGCACTTAGGATAGCTGCACAGGGGCATGGAGTGTGAGAGCTGAATGGATTGTAGACTAACTGGGCTCTTGCCAGGGCCTCACAACTGGATCCAAATAATATTTCAAGAAAAAATATATTACCATTGAGTAGTGATCAGCATTAGAAATAAAATACTGTAATTTTTCATGAGATATTTTAAGCATTATGTGTGTGTGTTTATAACCATGATGTACTAGATGAACTCACATAATGAAGAATATTCAAGGAAGCAAAAGGAGAGCCATAGATTGACCCCTGGGGCACTCCAACATTTATAAGTTTGTGAGAAGAAAAAGATATATATATATCGCTTTAAACTGGTTCTTTCTAATATATATATAAAGGAGCAACTAAGAAGAGGAAAGCCAGGGATATGCAGTTCCACTGACATAAAAAACAGAATATTTCAGGTCGGGCGGGTTGCTCAGCCAACACATCATTCAGCCAGAATCAACCTATCATACTAACATGATGACGAGCTTCATGTTTCACTTGAGTGCCTCTTTGATTGATTACATCTCAACTATTGAATCAAGGGGAGAAGCCCTGACGACCTGCTCCCACAAAGCTTTCAGACAAGGAAACTCCATGGGGCAGTTGTGCTTACTCTTCCTCGGGGTCCCTAGAGTCAGACAGGACTCGTGGGTACATAGCAACAACATTCAAACCCCAAACACAGCTGTTCGAGGACCATATTTAACAAAAACACACAAATATGAGCTCTGACTTGTCAACTGCACGCTGCCCAAGTCTGTGTTCTCCCACAGACTGAGGAAACCATGCCGTCTTCTCTGTCTATTTGATCTTTCCGCCCAGGTTCAACTCCTGCCATGAATTAATGCTGTCGCGTTTTTGCTCCTGGGACTTCAGAATGTACGGCATCACAGGAGTGAAAGTAAAACGTGTCATTAAAGTGAACAACCGTATTCTTCGTCTAAAATTCGAAGAGAAATTCCAAAAGTTTTTGGACAGTGAAGATATACACGATTCAGAGTAAGACGTTACTTTCTATAAGGGAATCTTTACAAAGTGCTGTTTTAGTTTGTTTTTGTTCTAAAGCTTCACTGTTTTAACACTTTCCAACATGAAAAATGCACCCTTGTCGGCAACCTTTTCCTCTTCTTGCATCCCTCGGGCTAGTCCGACCTCAAGGTGTCTTCACGGCGGGCGGCCTCTTGTTGCTAGAGGAGAGCGGGGAGAACCGAACTCTGATGCTGGGAAAGCTGACGTCAACGGGAAACAGCACCAGCAGGCCAGATTGGCCTTCCGTGTGGGTAAGATTTGATGAAATCAGTTCTCAACTGTTCTCCATTTCACTTATTATTCAGGAGCCACCGAAAGACGATGGAATGCCTGTTTTATATTTTTGAGCCTGACATCATCATGAAGAGAAAACATCTACTGCACGTTCTTGAAGAGGGGTTCCAAGAGGAGGAAGCCAGCAAGGTAACGTGCAGTGCTTTTTCAGATCTTCTCCTCTGGGTCCCTTTCAAATGTGATCGAGTTTTTAATTTTTTCTTTCTTTTCAAGTGGGGCTTCCCTCTGTTTTACTTTGTTATTGATCATTTTTTCGGCTTTCTGTCTATGAAATCCTGGATAGGTAAATCGCTAGAGACTGACAGTTTCCTGAGGTGTGGCAGGGGAGGTTTCAGGGAAAAAGGGAGCTAATCACAATGAGTAACAAGAAAGGAGAAAATGTTCTACAATCTATCGTGGTGATGATTGTACAACTCTTTATAAGCTTGAACTATTGAATTATATGATATGAATTATATGCCAATAAAACTGTGAAAAAAGGTGGTTTTTTGAAAGTAATGCAGTCTTCCCAATGATTAAAGCTTTGCCACCAGCTAAGCAAGATTGCCAAATATTTATCAATAGTCATATCAAACTGTTAGCATTTCACAAACAGCTTAATCATATGATACAAAGTATAGCAGCTTCCTTCTTCAAGGTAAGTCTACTAATGACCTTACCTTCCTTATTCTGTTTAGTATTCCTTGACATCTTGTTTTAATAATCCACTTCTTGAGTCTGTTATCAATATCTTATTAACTCTGTGGGGTCCTCTCGAAAAGAAATCCATTTATTTAACATCCCCTCTGTCTCTTTCTTGCCACTTCCACTATTTATCCTCTCCTCTTTATTACGCCCACCTTGCTCCTGCTACCTCAGTCAGTCTTGAACTCCAGCATTGCCAATCACCCTCTCTCCGGTCACCCTGCTTGGTGAGGCAACCGCAGCACACTGGTATGGAGTGGTGCGTCTTAGCTCGTTTTCACGACGACACATAGAAACAGTGATATTACTGCATTTGAACCCCGGCGTTATCACGCAAGGCTACGTGAAGCTGAAAGGAAGAAGATGATAATACTGTCAACTATACAGAATAGGTGTTAAGATTGAGTAAAATAATGTATGAAAATGTCCTTAAATGATTTCACCTAGGAAAATCCAATAAAATTTACCACTCGTGTCTGAAGCATTTGATGCTATTGAGAGCACTCTTCATTCTGAAACTCCCTCTGTCATCCATGATATGGTGCTGTGATTGTTCTCTGTCTTCTTCTCTTTTCATCTTTTGTCTCTGCTAGATTAAAAACATCCCTCCCTTTTTATTCCTCTTTACACACCCATCAGGTACTCCCATTGGCAGATCCTAGAAATGCTGGGAACTGAGTAGCAAACTACTGTGTAGCATGTAGATGCCTGATAAACTAGATGTCTAAGCCAGGGTGTTCACAGAATAAGTCAAGATAAATACTTCAACTCTGTATTGTTTGAGAAATGGGTTCTGGTTTAAAAGAAGAAGTGTGCAAGCCATGTGGAAGAGATGTTTGGCTTAAGTTGGCAGGGCCCTTGTTAAGGTTTACCTGAGTGCAGAAGTAGACACTTGGACTGGGAGATACTTGAGATTCAGACCACCTGTGGGCTCATCTGTCATTGCCAGACGACCTGCTTATTGAAGGTGGGCGAGTATAGATTCTTGACTAAATTTGCCCACATGACTCAAGGATATAGCTTTCAAATATTTTTATGGCTATCCACGGCTTAAAGTGCCTTGGTGGCATGATGGGTTATAAGTTGGACTAGTAAGTGCAAAATCGGCAGCTTGAACCCACCAGCTGCCCCATGGAGGGGAAGAAACCGCGCAAATTACTGAGACACAGTCATCAAGAGTATCATGTTTTCCTTTTGGACCTTCGCCACAATCTCCGTGTTCAGCCCAGATGATCATCTCCTGACTCCAACGCTGACACCCACAGCTGCCATTCTGCGCGTGCCATCAGTCTGACCTCCTGGCACTTTAGGTCACTAGCCATCTTTTCTCCTTTTGCCCATTAGTAACTCTTTCCCTGCTTCTACTAAGAAAGTGTCATTCCATAATCACTTACTATTTCTAGTAACTCCTACCATTATTACTTGAACACAAATAAATAGAGAGGACACAGCTCAGTTCCTTGCTACATGCCTGAGCGAGCTGTAGCCCTCTGCTGTTTTGCAGATTCTTTCCGTGTGCTTCTCGTTCCTCTGTGTCTCCGTTCATTTACAACAACAAGAGCCTTCCTCTTTCTCGCTGTCCCTCCATTTTACTAAGCATGATGTCACTTCTGGTAACGTGTCCAAAGTAAGTGAGACAGTCTCACCATCCTTTCCACGAAGGAGCATCCTGGCTGCATTTCTTCCAAGAGTCAACTCAAAACCCTCACTCCTGTAGAGTCGCTTCTGACTCACAGCAACCTTATAGAACTGTCCCAAGGCTGTAACTCTTTACAGGAGTAGAAAGTCTCATCTTTCTCTCGCCACGTGGCTGGTGGTTTCAAACGGTTGACTTTTCGGTTTACAGCCCACTTGTAACCACTAGACCACCGGAGCACCTTTCTTCTAAAACACTTGTATGTGCCACCAAGTCAGTTCTGACTCACAGCGACCCTATGTGTAACAAAAGGAAACATTGCCCAGCCCTGTGCCATCCTCACGACTCATTGAACCCATAGATGCAGTCACTGGGTCAATCCGCCTTGTTGGAGGGCTTCCTCTTTTTCACCGTGCCACCACTTGACTCAGCATGATGTCCACCACCACCATCGTACAGTCTCACCATCCTTACTTCTAAGGAGCAGCCCAGCTGCACTTCTTCCAGGACAGATTTGCTTGTTCTTTTGGCAATTCATAGTACTTTTCAATATTCTTCACCAGCACCCTAATTCAAATGCATTGATTTTTCTTTTTGCATCAGTTTTTCTTTAGTCTTCCTTATTCAGTGTCCAACGTTCACATGCACGGAGGCGATGGAAAATACCACAAATTGGGTCAGGCTCACTGTAGTCCTCAAAGTAACATCCTTACTTTCAATACTTCTTTAAGTATTTAAAGTACCTGCCTTGGGTAGCAGATTTACCCAATGAAATGCCTCTAATCTTGACTACTGCTTCCATGAACATTGATTGTGCATTCAAGCAAGACAAAACTCCTTGACAACGTCAACCTCTTCTTCATTTATCATGATGTTACCCCCCTGATCCAGCTGTGAGGATTTTGGTTTTCTTTACATTGAGTCATAATTCATACTGAATCTGAAATCCTCCATCTTCATCAGCAAGTGCTTCAAGTCCTCCTCACTTTCAGTAAGCAAGGTGGTGTCGTCTGCATATTGTCAGTAAGCCTTCCTGAAGTCCCAATGCTGCATTCTTCCTCATCTTTTTTTAAATCATTTTATTGGGGGCTCGTACAATTCTTACCACAATCCATACATCCATCCATTGTGTCAAGCACATATGTACATTTGTTGCCATCATCATTCTCAAAAC